TAGATAGAGGGAAGAGTAGTGTTGGTATTGTCAACACATGAACGTACAAATGGGAGTGAGAGTGAAATTACTGTCAATAAGTGCAGCTACCAGATGCTGTTGTTAATCCACAAAGTGACTGTCTCTAAACACCATCTGGAAAATTGCGTTTAAAAGATCATGTTACATAATACTGTATACACTGACCAAGTAGAATTTGTACACTGACTTGTATGTGTACAATATGGTGTACATGTAAACTGATCTCAACTGGCACCAGCATGAGGACGTGACGTGAGGGTGTACAGCTACGGACATAATTCCCTGAACACTTTATCTGGTATCTATATCAGCCTGGGATTAAGACATAATAAAACACCGACCACCAGTTATAATCCTCTCATATAAATGACTCCTAACAAGATGTTTGAGTGTCCAGGGAATATTGTACACTGAACCTGACAAATATATACATAATGTTCTTCAGTAATATCTCTACCTACAGATTTATTTTCACTTGTAATGTTTGCAATGTGAAATGGAAGAGAAATTTGGTGTTAGTGTCAGGAGATGTCAGGAATTAAGAAGATTAACACGGTGACAAGAGCAAGATCCGCGACGAACATGAAGGGGGTCCTGGAGGTGCGGGGGCCAGGACCCCCTATGTGTGTGTGTCCAGGCCGTGGTGGTGGTGCAGTTGTGTCCAGCTAGTGAGAACACCACCGTCACCACAGCTACACGACCACCTACAAACACTACCTCCCCTCCTACACGACTGATCGCCACAGCTGCACGACCACCTGCAAACACTCTTTCCTCCTACACGACTCATCACCACACCTACACGACCACCTACAAGCACTACCTTCCTCCTACACGACTGATCACCACAGCTACACGACCACCTACAAGCACTACCTTCCTCCTACACGACTCATCACCACAGCTACACGACCACCTACAAGCACTACCTTCCTCCTACACGACTCATCACCACAGCTACACGACCACCTACAAGCACTACCTTCCTCCTACACGACTCATCACCACAGCTACACGACCACCTACAAGCACTACCTTCCTCCTACGACTCATCACCACAGCTACACGACCACCTACAAGCACTACCTTCCTCCTACACGACTCATCACCACAGCTACACGACCACCTACAAGCACTACCTTCCTCCTACGACTCATCACCACAGCTACGACCACCTACAGCACTACCTTCCTCCTACGACTCATCACCACATACGTACCTACAGCACCTTCCCTACACGACTCATCACCACAGCTACACGACCACCTACAAGCACCTTCCTCCTACACGACTCATCACCACAGCTACACGACCACCTACAAGCACTACCTTCCTCCTACACGACTCATCACCACAGCTACGACCACCTACAAGCACTACCTTCCTCCTACGACTCATCACCACAGCTACACGACCACCTACAAGCACTACCTCCCATCCTACTCATCACCACAGCTACACGACCACCTACAAGCACTACCCCCTCCTCGACTCATCACCACAGCTACACGACACCACACAAGCACTACACTCCTCCTACACGACTCATCACCACAGCTACACGACCACCTACAAGCACTACCTTCCTCCTACACGACTCATCACCACGACGACCCCATCAGCACCCAACAAGCAGCCACTAGGAGAGAGGTGGTGAGCGAGATCAGGAGGAGGCACACACTGAACATGACGAACCTGAGTACACAAGCAACAGGCCGAGGTCAATAGATGTGCATCCCTACACCTAGGATAACTCTCCCCACCTCCTACACCCTCAGGATAACTCCTCCCCCCCCGGGATAACCTCCCCCCACCTACACCCTCAGGGATGCTCTCCCCCTCCTACACCCCTCCTCTCCTCCTCCCTACACCCTCAGGATAACTCTCCCCCCCTCCCTACACCTCAGGAATGTCCTCCTCTTCCGACACCCTCCTCTGAGATAACTCCTCCCCCCCCCTCTCCCTACACCCTCAGATATAACTCTCCCCTCCCTCCTCCCTACACCCCTCCCGAATAACTCTCCTCCTCCTCCTACACCCTCAGAGATAACTCCCCCCCCCCTCCTCCCTACACCCCAGAATAACTCTCCTCCTCCCCCTCCTCCTCCCTACCCCCTCAGGATAACTCTCCTCCTCCTCCCTACACCCCTCAGGATAACTCTCCCCTCCTCCTACACCCCTCTGAGATAACTCTCCTCCTCCTTCAATACCCCTCGAGAATAACTCTCCTCCTCCCCTCCTCCTCCTCCCTACACCCTCAGGATAACTCTCCTCCTCCTTCCTACACCCCTCAGGATAACTCTCCTCCTCCTCCCTACACCCTCCGGATAACTCTCCTCCTCCTACACCCTCAGGATAACTCTCCTCCTACACCCCTCTACACCCACCCCTCAGGATAACTCTCCCCCTCCTCCCTACACCCTCAGGATAACTCTCCTCCTCTTCCTACACCCTCAGGATGCTCTCCTCCTCCTCCACCCTCTAACTCCCTCCTCCACCCCCTCCAGGATAACTCTCTCCTCCTACACCCTCAGGATAACTCTCCTCCTCTACCACCCTCAGGATCTAACTCTCCTACACCCTCAGGATAACTCTCCTCCTCTTCTACACCTCAAGGATAACTCTCCTCCTCCTTCTATACCCTCCAGGATAACTCTCCTCCTCCCACCAGGATAACTCTCCTCTACACCCCCGGATAACTCTCCTCCTCCCTTCTACACCCTCAGGATAACTCTCCCCTCCTCCCTACCCTCCAGGATAACTCTCCTCCTCCTCAGGATAACTACACCTCAGGATAACTCTCCTCCTCCTTCTGAGGGGTGCTCTCCTCCTCCTTCTATACCCCCTCAGAGATAACTCTCCTCCTCCTCCTGCCTCCAGGACTCTCCTCCTCCTACCCCACTCAGGATAACTCTCCTCCCTATTCCCCTACCCTCCAGGGCCACTCTCCTCCCTCTCCTACACCTCAGAGATAACTTTCTCCTCCTCCTCCTACACCTCCTCCTCCTCCCCAGGACACTTCTATACCCTCCAGGATAACTCTCCTCCTCCTCCTACACCCTCAGAGACCAACTCTCCCCTCCTCCCTATACCCCTCCAGATAACTTTCTCCCCTCCTCCTTCCCAGACCAACCTCTCCCTCCTCCTCCTCCTACACCCTCAGAGGCCAACTCTCCCTCCTCCTCCCTACACCCTCAGGAATAACTCTCCCTCCTCCTACACCCTCAGAATACTTTCTCCTCCTCCTCCCTACACCCCTCAGAGATGCTCTCCTCCTCCTTCACACCTCGAGATAACTCTCCTCCCTCCTCCTACACCCCTCAGAGATAACTCTCCCCCTCCTCCTATACCCTCAGGATAACTCTCCCCCTCCTCCCTACACCTTCAGATAAACTCTCTCCTCCTCCTCCTCCCTACCCCTCGAGATACTCTCCTCCTCCTCCCCACCTCCCAGATAACTCTCCCCCCTCCTCCCTACACCTCAGGATATTCTCCTCCTCCTCCCTACACCCCCTCAGTACTACACTCTCCTCCTCCTCCCTACACCCTCGGGATAACTCTCCTCCTCCTCCTACACCCTCGGGATAACTCTCCCCCTCCTCCTACACCCTCGGGATAACTCTCCTCCTCCTCCTACACCCTCGGGATAACTCTCCCCCTCCTCCTACACCCTCGGGATAACTCTCCTCCTCCTCCTACACCTTCGGGATAACTCTCCTCCTCCTCCTACACCTTCGGGATAACTCTCCCCCTCCTTCTATAGCCTCAGGATCACACACACACACACACACCCACACATTTTCTCATCATTCATTGTCAATTAATTTTTTCTACCATTAAAAGATGTGCTCTGTTCAGGTACTCCTCTTCTACAACAGGGCCCAGCATCACCCATCCCACACACGTCTTACCTAGCTAAAACATAAACACTCACCGCCATTCACCCACACTGCTGCTTCTGGGTGTTAAATCCATCTCACTTCTAGTCTATCATTTACCCCATCCTTCATTTTCTTTCTTCCTCTTGTCCTCTTCCTGGTATCATCCACTTATGTATTAGTATTCACTATTATTATAAATTTTTCACTTATACTTCTTTTAATATCAACATACGACCTGAGTAAACGTAAATAAACTCTTTAATCTCTACCAAATATTTTCTCATTTCTCCTACTTATTTCTGTATCTTATTCTGTGCATTTGATTCATTCCCAACATAACTGCTTTAACACTCTCTTAGCTTTATTGTAAGTTTCCTTCCTTTGTCTTGCCACATACTTCCTCTGTTGCCCCCCCCCCCCTACGTGTGCCTCTGCCAAGTTCTGTTCTTCCCGGTCGTCTTGTTTCTCTTCCTCCTTTACTGACTTATTACTTATATCTGAAGACATTTTTGTTTCCTTTTAGCTGCCACTAACGTACTTTCTCTTTACTTCGATATTCTTTTATGTCCTAATTATCTCCATGTACTGTTTCCACATACTTTTTCCAGGTATTGTATTGAGAAACAATCATTCTCCAATGGCACTTTATGTTTCCAGACGTGCCATTCTGATCCTCTATATCCTAAATGTTTATTGATGATAAAGAAAGATCCAGTGTAGGTTAACATGTATTCAGACCAAGTCTAAGCTTCACCTTGTTCACAGGTTTTGTTTGGCGTGATTGCTGCGGCTCTGGCCCTCCCAGTGCCTGAAGCTGATCCTGACTGTGTTGAGGCAGTTCTGCCTTATGCTGGGTATGGTCTAGCTGCCGGGTATGGTCTGGCTGCTGGGTATGGAGTAGCTGCTACTGGGTATGATCTGGCTGCTGCCCCTGTTGCCTATCCTCAGGCCCCTGTTGCCTATCCTCAGGCCCCTGTTGCCTATCCTCAGGCCCCTGTTGCCTATGCTGCTCCTGCCCCAGTACCCGTCGCTCTGCCCCCAGCACAAGTGCAGGTGCCCATCACCAGTACTCATGTGGAGGTGCCTGTTCACCAGAAGGTCCACTACGGCACTCAGAGTTACGTAGCCGGAGCCACCACCACCATCCATAAGCCATCCCTGGCTGCCCCCGTCATCGCACCACCCACCACCCTCCTCTCCAAGATCACCCACAATGCCCCAGAGGTCACCATCCAGCGCCAGGAGATCCCTGTCGAGAAACACACCCCCAACTTCGTCGACACCCCCTACCACGCTGGTACCATCATCCAGTACACTGAGCCTGAGATCAAGGAGATCAAGGTGCCCACACCATATGCCCAGCCAGTACCCGTGGCTCAACCCGTGCCCGTGGCTCACCCCGTGCCCGTGCCCACTCCAGTGCACTCCGTCACCGTCCACCAGGCTGCCCCCGTGGCATACGCTGCCCCCGTCGCTGCTGCTGTCGCACCCTTTGCCTACACAGGTGTTGTCGCTGCTGACGACTGTTAGCTCCACAGATCAGGAAACTCCGCAGATATTCACGCCAAACATAAGCCTCTTCTGATGTAGATTTTTGTAAATTGAAATAAACCCTTGAAATGTTGAGCGCCAATTATTCTGTCCTCCTATGTTCCATAAGCTTTTCCCCAATCTCTAACATTACTTCTTTGTAATTATTAAATTGTTGTTCTGGTCATTGTTCATCAAGGTCACCCTTTAACAATATTGAAAATCTCTCTTCGGTTTAAATTTCATACTCTATCCCTGCCCCCGTTTTGAGCTTCCCTAAATCTCATTAGATTTTTTTTCAGGGCTGTGGAGTCGAAGACAAAACCTTCGACTCCGACTCCTCAAATTTTTATGCTTCCGACTCCGACTCCTTGGCCTATTTGTAACAACTATTTCTACCATCCTAATTGTAATTTGTATGTTGTAACCTGCATAGGTAAAAAGTAAAACACCGTGGCTATACTGCTACAGCTTTATTAATGATCTGGACGATATTTAAGAACTACAAAAAGATGATAGGCTTGACTTTCAAAGTTTCAATCAAAAGAAAAATAAATTTATTAAGAATTCAAGATATTAACTAGAAAACACCATTTACATGTATATCTAAAAGTTCGATCTCAGCATATGAATTTTGTTTAAGCTCATAATCTGATGTGGATCTAAATGATGATCCTACAATTCCTTTTAAAGTAAAGTTATATATTTATGTACATTAAAGAAATGAATACCTTATTAAGGAAAATGGATAAACCTTACATGATTAAGTTATTAAATTAAATTTGCCTTAATCTCACCAAAAACAGGTTGTAGCTAATTGTTTTGTAGCTGAGAGCCTCTGTGCAGTTTTCAACGAAACAAAATTTGATATAATTCAAAATTTCAAATGGTAAAGAAGAGACTATCGTCCAAAATTATAGTCTAATTTTTTCTGAATTGCTACCATTCAGGAGTACCTATAGCCTAAGGCTTTAATTTACAATTTTTGGTCATTTTGTAATAAAAAATGGATTTTGTCTTTTCAAAAATTTCAGTATAGGCAATTCTGAATGTGTTGCTTACGATCTGGTTAACCAAAAATTTGATATCTTGATTATAACTTGTTCAAATTGGCTTTTTAGAAAATGTTCAAATGATTTTTAAATATTTTTAATTACTTTTAATTACTCGCCACTTATGGGTTTTCGAGGTCATTTCTTGGTGCTTGTGTATTATTCTTGATGTACTTAAATAGTTAGGCACATTAAATTTTAGTTCAGAGAGAAAACGCATTTTGGCCAAAAATCCTTTAAGGCTATAGACTTACAATTTTCGTCATTTCGGCCAAAAAATGGATTTTGTTCAAAATTAGCCTTAAGGATTATACGTTTCTCTCTGAACTAAATTTAATGATGCCTAACTTTATTTAGTACATCCAGGCAATACACAACACCAAGAAATGACCTCGAAAACCATAAGGGTGACATTGATAGCATTGCAAAAAGTGGTAAAATATTCACAAAATCGTGAACATTTTCACAAAGCCATTTGAACAAGTTATAATCAGATATCAAATTTTTGAGTTGTAACGAATCCTTAAGCAGCACATTCAGGGGGCCTTACTATGCTGATTTTGAGACAAAAAATCCATTTTTTTGGCCCGAGAAATGACCCGAAAATTATTGAGATCTATAGCCTTAAGGATTTTGATAAAAATACGTTTTCTCTCTGAACTAAATTTATGTGCCCTAACTTTATTCCAAAGCATCAGAATAATACACAACTTTTAAGAAATGACCTCGAAAACGGTATTAACATTACCAAAAGTATTAAATATATTCTAAAATCATTTGAACGTGCACAAAAGCCATTTGAACAAAGTTATAATCAAGATATCAGAAGAGTACGGTTAACAGATCGCTTAAGCAGCACATTCGGGGGGTACTATACTGGTACACGGAACAAAATCCATTTTTTGACCGAAATGAGAAAATTGTAAATCTCTATAGCCAAGAGTTGCAGGCCAAAAATACACGTTTTACTCTCTGAGAACTAAAATTTATGTTAGCTACGCTTATTTAAGTACATCCAGAATAATACACAAAGCACCAGAAATGACCTCGAAACCATAATTGGCGGTAATTAGCATTGCAAGTAAAATATTCTAAAATCATTTGAACATTTTCTAAAAGCCATTTGAACAAAGTTATAATCAAAGATATCGAAATTTTTGGTTAACAGATCATAAGCAGCACATTCAGGGAGTGCCTATACTGAAGTACGAGACAAAAATCCATTTTTTGGCCGAAATGAAAATTGTGAAATCTATAACGCCAAGGATTTTTGACCAAAAATAGATACCTACTCTCTGAACTAAAATTTATGTTGCTAACTATTTAAGTACATCCAGAAATAATACACAACACCAAATGATACTCGAAAACCCATAGAGGTGGCGGTAGTAGCATTGCAAAAGTAGTAAATATTCTAAAAATCATTTGAACATTTTCTAAAGCCATTTGAACAGTTATAATCAGATATCCAGAAATTTTGGGTTGCCTTGCTGGAATCCTTAGCAGCACATTCAGGAGTACATACTGAAGTACTGAACAGAAATTTTTTGGCCGAGAAATGACGAAAAGTGGCAAGTCTATAGCCTTAAAGGATTTTTGACCCAAAATACGTTTTCTCTCTGAAACTAAAAATTTGTGTGCCTAACTTGTTATGTACATCCAGAAATAACACACAAGCTTTTCCAATGACCTCAAAAAACCCATGAAATTGACGTATTAGCATTGCAAAAGTAGTAAATATTCTAAAATCATTTGAACATTTTCCTAAAAACCGATTTGGGCACGGTTATAATCAAGATATGAAGTACGGTTGGCAGATCATAGCAGCACATTCAGGGGTACCCTATACTGAAGTACGAACAAAATCCATTTTTTGGCCAATGACCCGAAGAATTGGCAAGGATCTATAGCCTTAAAAGGATTTTTGACCAAAAAGCTCGTTTCTCTCTGAACTAAATTTATGTGCTTTTATTTGGTACATCAGAATATACACAACACCAAAAATGACCTCAAAAAACCCATAGTGGCAGTATTATTAGCATTGCAAAAGCCAGTAAAATATTCTAAAATCATTTGGTTTATTTCAAAAGCCATTTGAGAACAAGTTATAATCAGATATCAAGTACGGTTAACAGATCATAGCAGCACATTCAGGGTACCTATACTGAGAAATTTTTGAACAAAAAATCCATTTTTGGCCAATGACTAGTAATGAGATCTATAGCAAAAGGATTTTTGACCCAAATAGTTTTCTCTCTGAACTAAAATTTATGTTGCCTAACTTATTTAAGGTACATCAGGGAATAATACACAAGCACCAAGAAATGATCTCAAAACCATAAGTGGCGGTATTAGCATTGCAAAAGTGATAAAATATTCTAAAAATCATTTGAGGAGAACATTTTTCTAAAAGCCATTGAACAAGTTATAATCAAAAGATATCCAAGTACACGATTTAACGAATCATAGCAGCACATTCGGATATCTATCTGTTGGG